AAGGCTGGTGCTTGCTGCAGCCCCCACGTTCCAGACAGACGGAGCTGTTGCCGGTACCACGGGGCCATCAGACCCAGCTTGCTTTGGGCAGGCAGCGTGGAGAGATAACTGTGACATTAGGGCAGGTGTCCAACTTCAGTGTCACGGGGCAATATTTAGTTCTCCATTTTATGGCTGCTGCATTTTATCCCTGCTCACAGAGGAAGGAGAACTTCTCACCCTACTGTTTGTTCCCCCTTTCTGTCTTTGAGGAAATGGTGTAAGTCATGCCTTTTTGTATCGTAATGCAAAAAAAATAGGTCTCAACTGTCATTTAAACAGAGCTAAGAAAGAAGAGGGTGTGATAACAGCTTCAGGCCCTGCAGGAGAAGACTGACAATGAGTTGAAGGCATGAGCATGCTGTGATCATTGTATCGTACTGTGTTTTTTATTACTGTTCTTTGTGGATTTACAATGGCTGATCATGATTATTTTTGTCCTTTCTGGTACGTGTCCTGTTGGCCACAGAAATCTGTTTTACTTATCTTTGAGGCTGGTTATATTTAGACTTCAGAGCTGGTATGCTCACGACGTGGCCCAGTCCCAAATTCACCAGCTATCTATACTGGAGCTGGAGCTGAGACAGGCTACCCGTTTGACGGCCTCTGCATCCATCAGCATTTGCACAAGGGGTACTGGTGCCCACACTGCCCTGGCAGGCAGTCAGGACATGGCCAGGGTGCACATCTGGACCAGGGAGATGGGATGCATTGCTGGGTCCCATGGATCAGACGTAGCCAGGGTCTACCTTTGAGGAGAAGGGGATCCAATATTATGTTCACATCTGCTCACCGTCTGCCATGTGACAGTTCTTTCAGAGCTTGCCATTCAGTGAACTTGATTTCATACATTGTCTTCTAGAATCTTTTTAACCTGAAATGTAGTCAAACCATAGCTAAATGAAAGTGAATGATCATATATAAGCAGTAGGCTCTGGAAAACCTTGTGACAGACACTTGAGAAATGCCGTTTAGTTGCTGGAAGGCATTTCCCAAGGTCTCCTGGGGATGTTCTGTGTCTGCGTCAGCTGATGAAAATACTGTCTACATTTCTGCAGCCACAGGTGATTAGGAATTGCTCCCACAGCGTAATTTAAACCTACTAGGCTTCTCCCTGGATGGGGTCAAGTGAGCAGACACAGACCCTTGCATGTTTGATTTTATATGACTGAACAAGATCTGCTTCATCTGTGCTTTGTCAAGGCTACAAAACTTGGGTCCATATAGAAAGTGTAAGTTACACCCACACTGCGTGTCTGCATTCAGCTTGGCTGTTTCCTGAATTGCAGAAGGCAGCAATCCCTCCGTTACATTGAGCTCTGGCTAGGCACAGACTTTTGGGGGACGAAGAATGGGAGCCTCTAAACGACGCAAATGGCCTAGAGTCCAGTCTTTTTCCCATAATTAATATCAAATGAAAGTTTCTGTTCTGCGATCAGCTATTGCTTAGCTTACCTTGCAGCAGAACATACTAAGGCCTCATTCATTCACGTTATAACTTACGTATTAGTAGCCAGTTGGAAAATGATGACAGATTTGCATCCTGTTCTGCTCCGTTTAAGAGCTGATGTTCACTGACTTGCACTAACCATATATTTGCATAGTGCCTTTAACTCCAAAATATTTTCGTTTTACAGGACTTACGGATGGTGATTTCTATCAGCCTTCAAGTCCAGCGACTTCAGGCTTGGAATGTGGCAGCCGATTAGCAGCACTGACTATAGAATAGTGTATTGTGTGAGTATCTTCTCCGTATGAAAGTACTAACAGAATCTGAGCAGACAGGTATTTGATTCAAAAACCAGGCTACCTCCCTAACCCTCACTCTTGCTACACGATATTCAATACCCAGAACGAAACAAGCCCCCAGTGCACCTCTCTTTTGTAGAACAGCCTTCCCTCCAGTGTTGTGCCAGAGTAGGGCTTCGCTGCAGCAGACTCTCTGAGGCTCCTGCTGAGCCCCCCAGCAATGACCTCTGAGAACCTGACCCTCCGAGGTGCCGCTGAGCCTCTTTGTCCCGAATTGAGCGTGTCTCCCCGCACAATGGGGATACAGCTGTCTGCCTGCCAGAGTTAATGAGTGTAGAGGGTAGGCTTTCAGTTAAGTTTTTTCAGCCATATTTCTCAGAGCGTTACAAAAAAAGGAGTTACTCTGCTCCTCATTTTATACACGAGGAGGCTGGAGCCTAAAATGCAAAGAAATTAAGTAACTTGTTGAAGATTACAAAGCAGATTATCGGCAGAGCTCAGAATCAAGCTTAGCTCCCCACCCCCACATCCCTCTAGCACTGTGCATCTGAGAAGGCACAACTTTTTGACTTGCATGGTAAAGAGGCAGTTCTGCTACAGCTTTCTGTTTTTCTTTGGCTTTTAATCAAACCAAACCAGCTGTGCTCTTATTTTATACTTACTACCACCCTAAGGAGGTTCTTTTATGTGTGGGCGCCATAGAAATTAAGTTTCAAGCTAGAGTTTAGTGGGATCAAATTTTTGGATACAGAACTCCCAGAAAGTCGAGAAGACTGAAACCGAGGTCTTGTAAAAAAGGGAGGAGAAAAGGAAAGAAATCCAATGGTCACTTCTCTCCCATCGCTCTATGGTCCCAGTCCAATAGGAACTGCTGGCTCCAACCAGGCTGCCAGAAGTTTGGGGTGCTGGGACAAAAGGCCAAAAGTCATCTTTTTTCCATCCAGACAAAATTTTAGGTGGAAAAAGAAGGACGTATCCAGGAACAGCCAGATGAATAGCAGCCGTAACAATGCCAACTTTTCCACTCCCAAAGCTGTTTACATCCACAAAATTCACCGCGGTGCCAAGCTGCAAGGAGAGTTGTGACTCCCGTACATGTGTGGTCTTTATCAGGAAGGCCAAATGAAATTCATTTTGAATTATTAGACACATTAACAATGCCTGTGAGCATCATATACGAATAGCTGACACTTTTGAGCACCGACGCAGTAAGGATGGACAAGAACATGAGGTGAGGATGGTGGGAGGAAAGGTCTTTTTTAGGTGTATCCAAGGTAGAGCAAGTTTTATTACCAGGCTAGAACCGTATAGCATCCCAGGAGTGAATAAGCTCACACATTTGATCCGATCTTGGGCTCAGTCCAGCTCCCACTAAAGTTTAATGGGAGTTGGATCAGGCCATTGCACTCACATTTTTTCCATGCATGGAAAACTATTTCCGTTACTTTGAATTACAATACCACTGGCTTTGGATTTTATATAATAAAATAAATCTAGGCCACTGTTTATATTCCAAGAAACTGCATTCTGGGATGCCAGCAAATATATTGCCTGTTGGATTAAAAAAAATAAAATAAAATCTGGACACATTGGTTTAAAAAAACAACAGCTCCTAATTATTAAACATAATTTTTCTTCCCTGTGCTTTTCTGGAGTCCTCAAATATTTGAAGTATGAAAGGTACATATAAATTCTTCTCTGGTGGTTGAAATGGTGGAATCTGTATAACTGCAATGCTTTATAAGAAACAGAGATTTAATATAAACATAATAATCTTCATGACTGGCTCTTTGCTTATTGGCATATTTTGCACATTTTAAAATTTACAGTGAAAAAGAAAACACCACCCCTGGAATGTCAGTAACAAAGGGGATGTATGTATATCAGCAAACCCTTGTATTTTGGGGACTGGTTTCTCTTGATTGTTCTGACTGTAAATGAACTCTGCAGATGCTGAGCGGCACAGGAAATGTGCTAGAAACAGCATTTGTTCCCTGCTGTATGAATTAGACTCTACAAAAATTCCAACGTGGTAAGACTGATTAGCAGGCTTTGGTAGTACCTCCTGCCCTAGTACAATTTTATTATTCTCTTTTATGACCAATGAAAAACACAGAAAAGACTTCCATCAGTGAACATATGCCCACATTCTGGGAGCAAACCTATCTGTGGGTAGCTTTGCACGGCCCCTGGGCTCTGAAATACAGAGCAGCAGAATAAGGCACCCCACGAAAAGAATGAAACAAAACCACACATATACACGAGCAACAGAGGGAAAGAAATGTCACTGAGGGGTGTTTAATGTTAAAGAGAAACTATACACGTGGGATGGTGGTGAGGAGGATTTAACAGAGCTGAACAAGGTGGCCACCTGCATCCCCCTCAAAGAGGAAAACCGGCAGCAGTATGAGGAGCGCTTATGCAGTCACGTGCACGTGTGTGCATGCAAGGCTTCTTTCTACTGGCAAAATATGAAGTACATTGCCTTTGCAAACATCCCTGGGCACCGGCAGGTTCTCCTCTATAATGACAAATGGCAGTTTCAGCATGGAATTGAAAGGAAAAACACCTCCCTCGTTCACATAGCCATGTGGTTGGAGCTGGACAGAGTTCCGCTTTGCCCAGGCGGTGCAGAAGAGCTAGATGCTGGCTTCACAGGGACTCCCAGTCTGCGCTGGTCAGCCACAGGTCACAGCTTCCTTCCTCACAACAGCAAGTTCTACACCTTCCTCCACCACGCTGTGGTCTGTGGCAGCGCCGGTTTACAGGACTGTGGATTTTAAGCCGTATTCTTGTAGAGGAGCCTGAGCTGACTTTCCCTCTAACATGACAAAGCCGTTTAGAGAGATCAAGCATTGGTTCCAAACTCCCCAGTGGTTTTAGTGGGGTGGCAGGGTTTGAAACTCAAAGATAACTAGGACTCACCTGCATCTGGCTGCAATTTCAGATGTGCAATAACTACACAAAATGCTGAGATTTAGAGATGAGAGATCAGAAAGAAGCCACTCTTCTCCTTCTCGCCGGCTTTGTTTCTGTAACGAACTCGTGTGTTTATGTGTGCAGGAGAAGTTCACTTTCGCAGCACCTCCTCAGCCTCTTCACCCTGACCGAAACATCCAACGGGAGAGATGTACCCAAACTCCCCAGAAGAACTGAAGGAACGGCAAACCAGCTGGCCTGATGGGGGAAATTTCAAAACCAAAACATCTCTTAAATAAGCTTCTTTAATTATTATCATCATCTGTTTATTTATACAAATATAAAATATATTTATATAGATTTATATAATATAGATTTGTTGCTTTGGTGGCTCTTTTCATTTACAGACGTACTGGTCGACGATCTCTGTGCACTTTTTACACTTGACATAACAGCACCAATGGAACTTGCAGTGGCAACGCTCCACCTGGACGCTCTTGAACTGGTCATAACCCCGTCCGCAGCACATCAGCTCGCACCCATCCATGCCCTCCGAGGTCTTGTTGCACAGCCGGCCCTGAGTGCCCAGCGAGCCCGTGGTCTCATTGCGCAGGCAATAGTCCGGGCTGGGGTCAACGTAGACCAGGTCCTCTTGCGTCGGCATGTTGAAACGGTTGTTCACCAGCTCCAGCTTGCCCTTGCGGCTGATCCTCATGGCAGCGGCGCTGTCGTACTTCTCCTTTAGCAGGTCGCCCACCTTGCGGAAGTCAGCCAGCTGCAGCCAGCAGGTCTTGAGGCTGCAGGAGCCTGACACGCCGTGGCACTTGCAGGCCACGTCTGCCAGCTTGTACACGGCCTGCGGGAAAAGGAGCGCAATCAGGCAAAGCGGCGGGTATCAGCCAGCTGCCAGGGCAGCAAGAAATTACAAACAATTCATCATGTTTTCATAACCGCTTTGATTAGCCCCCGATTTCTGTTGTCTCGCCCTTCAGAAGAGACAAAAGTCTCCTCTTCCTCCTGTTGCGACTGCTGTGTTCTTGTTCCTAAATATTTCTATTTCTGGTCACATTGCCTCCAAGCATGACTTCCCCACCCCACCTTCTTTTCCCCTGGCAGATTTCTGACTTGACAGCAGGGTCAAGAGTGGGAAAGAAGAAGGGGAAGAGTCCCACCCGTGTGGGCTCTGGAAATTCCCCCGGTCTCATGGACCACTGTGGTATTGCGTGTTTTTCCCTTCAGAGCTGGGAAAAGGGAACACCTGGGAACCTGCCCACTTCCTACCACCCGCACCAGGAACTGCTGTATGGATACATCTGCATCCTTTCCAAACAAATCCACAGACCCACGCCCTTTCCCTCCATCTCTGCTGAGAGGAGCTCGCTGAGGGGCAGCGTCAGAGGAGCCATCGCCTGCCAGAGACGAGCGGGCAGGGGTGATGGTGGCCATGATGAGGGTGGTGGTGGCCATGATGATCCTGGAGGTCTCTTCCAACCTTAATGATTCTGGGAGGGAGAGGAACACCTCGACCCCGGAGCTGAGCCCTCCTGGCAGGGCAGCGCAGCGCTGCGAGCCCGCGCCATCTCGTGTCCAGCCACGTCCCTGCACCACCAGCACCACAAGACAAAGAAGTCTCGAAAATTTAAGGCCAGTGAGCGTCAAACCCCGAGCAGAGCAAGTACATGACGTAAAGGGTAACGGTGGTTACTCTCCTCTTCCTCCTCCCCACACTAGCTGGGAGGAGAGAGAAATATTGAAAAATATGCTAGAATAACGAAGCTCAAAATCAACTGAAAATGCAGGTTGGGTTTTTTCTTTCCGTTAATTTCAGAGACAGGTACAAAACTGCACTCTACATGAGATGCCGTCGGCGCTTGCAGGCACGGACAGCCTGCCAAGCGGAGAGCTGGCACCCCACGCCGCGATACCGCAGCATTCCCCCGGCCCTGGCTCCTCAGGTGCCCGCCATCGGGCTCACCGTGACCACCCTGCGTCCCACGCGCGCGCAGGGCAGCGTCCCTGCTGGGGCCCACGTGCCACGCAGAGCTGTTTGGCATCACCTGCGAAGTTAGCACCAGCTGCATCGGGTGGGGGAGATCAAGGAACGCGAGTTAAAGCTAGGATGTTCTGAAGGAGACGGTGACATGTCTTCTAGCCAGGTTTTCTGCTGAAGAAAGCAGCCAAACACCAGGGTTTCTTTTCTGGCTCACTCACTGACACGGAAAAAAGCTTCCCAGCTCTCCGCATTCACTTGCCAAGAGGTAGGTGATTAAGGCAATTGAGCATAGTGCAAGCAAAGCCTTCTGCCTATGACTACGTTCTGGACCAGCAGCGAGAGGTCAGAGTTCTCCTACAACAACTGGTTGCTCCTGGCCTAACGTCTAGTGCTTCTGACAGCTAGTGAAGATTCAATTGGGCTTAATGGCCAAATCACATGGAGGCCAATCCAGCTCCCAAGAAAGTCAATGGAGTGAGTCCTTAAAACAGAGAAGCTTTAGTTCTGCTCCTCGGAGCTCAATTTACTGAGGCAATCCCTCACGGCGCAATGAAACAGCTACAGGCTGGGAGTTAAGCACTTGTCTTGGATCGAACTACAACTGGAGAGGACCAACCACACCGTTGCTTAAGGATTCCTAAAAACAGACAGAGCTACAGCTGAATTTCCCGAGCCCCAGACACTTCCTATATCCTCACTGCATTGCCAGCCTGCATGTTATAAGCTTGTGTTAGCACTTTTTGGTTATGGTTCTGTCAAATCCCAGGCTACTCGTGCCTCCCTTGCCCTTGCACGTGTTTTTATAAAGTATTATGATTCTTCCTAATCCTGGGCTTTGTTCCTTTAGAAAAACACTGCAACTTGATCCCTCTCAGTTAATGCCATGGGACTGAGTTCACTGCGACTTGGCTTTAAGCAACTGATGCTCAAAACATCTGGCCCATGTGGGTAGTAGCTGTGCTGGGAATGCGAACGCTACCAGTTATCACAGGTAAGCATGGCGCCGCTCAGCCCCCCCCCGCAGCTCCCACTACCAACGTCCCGTGGAGGCAACCACAGCTTCAGCCGCTAAACGGCTCTCCCGCTTTGCTGCCCGGATGGGGAGAAAGCAGAGGAAATTGGAGAATTCCTCTCTGACCGGGCTCGGGTCAAGGTAAAGAATAACAGACCCCGACATGGAGTTCTGAGGGCAGGGGCTGATCGATGGCCACGCAACTTAAACAGGTTGAAAACGCCTCTAATGGAAAGGCTTAAAGCCCCCTCCCATAGGCCCAAGTTCTCTTCCACTTCTTTTCTTGCAAGAATGGGAACGGGAAGAGAATTAATGGGGAATTCCTACGTGGTCAATTAGCCAGCCCCCCTTCCAGGCTCTTCTGGCACTGGCTCAAGTGACTGATGACTGAGGCCTGCCATATGCCGGCTGGGTAAACAGCACGGAACGACTGACTGCCACAGTGCGCCAGACAGGGCGACAGATAAGGAACGGGGAGAAATACGAGAGGGTAATGGAGACCAATTGCAAGAAAAAGACAGATGGAAGGAAAGGACATATTGAGATAACAGCCAAAGACAAACAAACAAGGGCAATAAAGCCAGGAGCCACCACCACAATGACTCTGACGTGGAGTGAAGCGGTGATGGGGTCACAACTGCCTGAAAGATAAAAGACCTCTGGTCTCCTCCTGTCCTTCTCAGCTCCTTCCGAGAACCACCGAGAGCAGACAGGATCTTCTCTCCTGCCACCAGAGCTCCTCAGGGTTCAAGGAGAATTTTCTCACCCACAGGAGACTGAGTGAGTGGACACACCAAAAGTCCGCCTAGAAATTAGACGACATCAGTTGAAACACTGGCTGGGAAAGCGCGGCGAGGCTGTGTGCAGGATGGCACCTGGTGGCCACTTAGCAATGCTCACTGCTGTGTCTCCTCTCTTTCAGCACCCACTTTTGGGAGTATGGAGTTACACGTGTACCTTCCCACTTCCAAAACCAGAATCTCAGAAGCGAAAACTTCACGTTTAGGAATGCAGGACGAGATAGGACCTCCTCAGTTATTAAGTACAATCTCTTGCTATTGTAGGCACCACTTCAGAGAATATTTTCCTCAAATGTGTAGAGTGCCCTTTTAAAAGCAATTAGGTTTTCAGCCGCCATTATTCTGATCAGTATTCCAAAGATAAAGTATATTTTTCTAATTTCCAGCCTAAATGTATTCACTTTATGTCCATTTGCTATGGTGCCAAATTGGCCTTTTGCTTAAAAAGTACTTTTCCTCCCCTATTATTTCTCCTGCTAACACAGACATCAGTCATATCCTCTCTCAACTTGCACTTTGCTAGGCTAAACACGGCAAGGTATTCTAGCCCGCTTTCTTCAGAAAAGATTCCTATCCCTTGGGTCAACAATAATAAGCCTTTTCTAGTCTGAGGTCATTTTGCTTGGGAATATGTGAACATACAATATTTTGGGGCCTCAGGAGAGCTTAATACAATGGTATTAGTATTCCCCCATGTTTTACAAAAAGACTTTCCCTAGGACATTATAGGATATTTACCACCTTCTGAGCCACATTACATCTGCAGTCATCTGCAGCTGACTGCTGTGCCCAGTTCTTCTCTACTCATTTTCTAATGACTAAAAATGTTTTTCATACAAGACCTCACGTGATGGTTTTAACATTGTTGTACTGGACATCATTAGCTGCTGTACAACACTTGGATTCTTCTTTGTATTTGTAATACCTGCCACCTTCGCATCATCAGCAAATTTCATCAGCCCATTCCTAAATCTTGTGCTGAGGCTGAGAAACAAAAATACTAAGTGTTGGTCTTGAGGCAAGTCCTTGAAGAACTCTGCTAATTAACCTCTGTCGAGATCAAGATACGTCCTTTCACACATGTTACTGACATCTTCTCCTGAACCAGTTTTTTTTCCATCTCATAGCTGCTGCATTTTTATCTTTTCCAATTTAACCAAGTGTTTCCCATGTGGGAAATACATCAAATGTCTCACGGAAGCTCACATAAACGAGACCTATCAGATCTATTTTGCTTTTTAAGAAATCAATTATGTTCTAAATAATTGTGTGATCAATCTTTGAGAAATTCTTCTTGAATTATTTCCCATTTTGTCCCTTCCTCTGAGATATGCTTTCCCCTAGGTCCTCCAGTAAACACTGGCGAGGTCACATTGCCCGTGCTGCCAGGTGCCAGCTCTTTCAGAGTGCCAGGGAAGAGAGTGGGCACTCCCTGCGACTTGAGAGCTTTACGCTACCTGAGTTTTGCTTCCACCTTGGTGGTAATAATTTTAAAACTCAGCCTTTCTCCTTTGCTCCCATGCTAACAGATTTCTAAGAGCCAAGAGGAAAGGCTGTGCTGGCCAAACACCATTGTGACCAGACAACCCTGGAACCCGTCGCAATGCCATCTCAGAGCCACCCCAGGTCTCATCTCCATCCAGATCCTTTGATATTCGTCTCCTTTCCCAATCCCACCATCTCCATTCCTCACTAGCCCCAAATCCTCATCCACTCAATCCAGCCCAGAGCCCCATCCTCATTTACTCCAGAGCCCTCAGTTCTTCCAACCCTGTGCTACCACTTGACTCCCCTCTGAATCATTCAACCCGATCCCAAACTCCCCTCCGTCAGCAGCCCCCTGGCACCATCCCATCCATCCCAGATCTTCTGGCCCCACACTTCAGTACTTGCCACTCAGCTCCTCTTCCTCTACCTGTCCGAACATGACAGCTGCCTCCTCACGCCTTCCTCGCTCCCACAGGGTACCAGCACCATCGGCCACTGCCTACTGTGACAAACCTTGCCTGCCCCTAAAGCACCCTGCCTGGCTTCCTCCAAAAAGCACAGTCTCAGAGGGTTTAAAAAATCTACACTAGGAGCACTTACTCCCCTAGGCAGAAGTTTTGAGGACAGAAAAAGACATCTCCGTTGTGCAGCAGACATACAGCACCCCTCCCCACAAGCAATGCCCCCCATTCTGACTTGAAGCCCCGAGTAAAGCACTCGTTTACTTTGGGGATGAAACTCCTCTGTCTTTAGACTGAGCCCCATCCCCACTGACTAGCAGCCCTTTCTTCCAGTCTCGTCCAATTTACAAAGTTTAAAAAACTTCCGCTGTTTATTTTACTGTCCTTTGCAAGGTCTGACTCAGTGTGATTTTTTACTGTTCTCAATTAATCTTTACACTTCTTGACCTCTAAGACAGAGCTTTTTGTTATTTATTTGCTATCAGTTCCTTTTTTTCCATTGTTAGTAGGCTCTCAAGTCTATTCCTAACAGCTCCTCTGTGGTAGTTATTAATTCAGTGAGGTCTGGATATTCTTCCTACAAGCTTTTCCCTCTTGCTTGGCACACAGAATTGTAATAGCTTTAGCATCTTTGACTTGAAAAAGTTCCAGACCTCCTCCACATCAAGTTCCTCGGCTGAGTTTGCTAACCCACTCCCTTAGTTTATCAGACTTTTTACTTTGAAATCTACAAGCTTAATTACACACTGACTTATAATTCCATTTATTCTAATCTAAAATGACTCATGTTCATTTAATCTAAGGTTATTTTCTACGGCCATCTGTTCTACAGAGTCTACAAAAAACAAGCTTCAAATAACGCTGTCTTTCGCTGGGCCCTTCGAAAAGCTTTTGTCCAAGTCCTGTGTCAACTGGAGACACAGAAATCTCCTTGAGAGATTGGCTATGGAATCCAAAGAAGCACGGCACTGCAGCATTCCAAGAACAATTTAAAGAACTTTCTGTGCTGCAGTAAAGGCAGAACATAACAGTTTTCAGCTGTATCCTTACAGCAGGACAAAGCTTTCTTCCTTCTAAAACTGTATCATCGTCTGAAATCACAGCTCAGTGAGATTCCTGCCCATATAACAAGAAAAACAACACAGGGTAGTGTTTTATCCATGCTGTGGAGCAAGGATCGTTTGACTTCATCTTCTAATCCAGATGTTACTACAGTTCAACTGGCACCTCAAACTACTGGCCCTTCTTCTGTCTCTGGATCCCTCAAGGCAATAGAACTGGCTGTTTAAAAAGTCTCATAACATATTCACTCCCTATTTTAGGCAGGCTATTTATTTGTAGTAATCCAAGTTCAGGACTCCAGACCCACAAGATGTTCAAAGCAAATAATGCAGAGAAGAATGTCACTTTCAGGCTACTGCTCCCCGGAGGAATGCTCCCCCATTTCTAAGCAAATGCAGACCCTCTGCCTTTCCAAGCCAAAAAAAACCCTAAACCAAAACCCACCGAGTTCTACAGTTTTCAAGTCCACAGTTTTCCACCTACTGCAAATTTACCCCAATTTGTTTTTGCAAAAGAAGCACGGAGTGTTTGCCTCAACCTGACACATTGATTTCACAATCAAAAAAAAAAAAAAAAATCTTCTTTGGTGGCAAAATGAAGCCAAAATTACATGCAGAAGACAGACATACATGGGAAAGGGAAAGATAATTCAGTTCACAACTGGAAGAAAGAAAGGGCAGAAAATTGATAGGGAAGCTAAAGATATTAGTTAAGAATGTGCAAAAGAGCAAGGCTAAGTAGACTTAATAGGATGTTTTAATATGCATTACAAATAAAATTAACCTTAGAAAGGCTCACTACTAGGAAGAATGATAAAAATTTTAAACACGCTGTGGAAAGGACGCAAATATTCAAGTCAGTATTCCTATTCCACATTTGGAAAGAGGCAGCACCGCGTATGAATGACGCTGCACCTTCTGGGCTATTCATCGCAGACAGAGGAATTGTGTGGAAGCAAATGTGCATACACTGAATGCACACAAAGGGGGCAACTTCACCTACATTTACAGCGTCGGTGAGACCAGCACTAGAATCCAGCATGCCATCTGAGTGTCCAGTTTCTTAAAGGACATGTGAAAACTGGAAAGGGTACGCTAAAGAGATGCAAAAACGATTTGATGGCTGATGAGAACATCTGAAAGTGAGGGAGTCTTCAGTGCTCAGTCTAGCTTGTCAAGAAAGAGTGGTGAATAAATTACAGTAGATAAATACTTCTACGCAGACGAAATTCTGATTACTAAGGGGCTTTTGGATCTAGCCGTAAAAGTCAGAAAAGGAAGTGATTGGAAGCTGACGCCAGATAAATTCAAATGATAGTGAGGCACAGTGTTGAAACAGGGTGATTAATGATGGTAGCATACTACAAAGGGAAGTGATGGATTCTCCATCCCTAGGGGTCTACAGGTCAAAACTGTGTATCATCTTCTCAGAAAACCTCTGTCACCTAGATGCAGATTATTTCTTTTCCCCAATACCAAGGTAACTGAGCAAGGCGTAAGTTTCAGAGATAGCCAAGTAGCCTGATTCAGTGTTTGCTTCTGGCCTTATGTTCCCCAAAATCCTAACAAAGGCAGCAGATGGCAACGTGCCAACCGACCAGGTCTTCACCACCAGCCTGTCACTTCAGCAGCTCTGGGAAGCCAGTTTCCGAGACGTAAACCTTGGAAGTGTGCCACGACGGTGACTAGTTCATTTGGAAAGGGCTTACACGTCTGCACACCTATGCCATACAGTATCTCAACAGACCCAAAAACTCATTGGCTTTAGCTGATAATGGAAGCCTGCCATTAAAACTGAAATATAGTATTATCAATATTGTCTGTAATATTCACAAAAATGCAGAAGATGTGACCATACGCTGTTTCACAGGGGTTACTGGGGCATCATGGGATCATCCGTCATCAAACCTCCAAGAAATCTGGTACCCAGCTATCTCAAGCCTTCTGAATCTGCCTCTGAGAAAAAGGAAAGGGTCAGCATTCATCTTACCCTGCGACCAGCCTCGTTGTTCTGCAAGTTCATCAGCATGCGAGCCTGCTCCTCTGAACCTCTCACGTAGTTCTTCTCCCTCTCCTTGGCATCCACAAACTCCTTGGCAAAACGATAGCCATACTCCACGTTATCCCCGCAGCCACCCCACAGCCAGTCTCGGGGCAAGTCCTTGGGCCGGGCGGTCCGGCTGCAGCCACAGCTGGAGAGCTCTCCTTCACGGCAAGCCCGGCTGATGGCGTTCACCACCCCGGCAGCACTGACGGCGTAGGTGAAAGCAGTCTCTCGGCTACCTGTGAGAGAGAGGCGAGAAGCAAATTAACGAGAGAGGGATCTCACCTGACAAACACAACATGCAGCAAGGAGCGAGCGAAGGAGCGCCGGACAGTACGCCACGGTGTGCTCCGAGAAGGTGCACGTAACTAACGGGAACCAAGTGGTCAAGTGCAACGGCACCGCCCCGTCCTAACACATGCTTGTCTCTCGGTTTTCTCCTCATTCCACAGCAACAGCTCCAGTCAACTGACTGTCCAGAACTGGCAGCTTCTGCGTAGCTATGATCAAACCCAAACCTGATTCTCTGACACACACTAGGGAAGGGGCTGAGATTCCCGCTGTTGCCTGGAGGAATGTTCTTGGGAAGAGCACATTCTTCAAGAATTTCTAGGTGCTGCTCCTCACAGGTTATTATTTTTATTACACCTACTTTTGCCCATTTAAGACCCCTGCAATCTCTGGGCCTTGCCCAAAAGAAACAGCAACACCACAGGCAGGGAGTGCTCGGCCTCTGTCCACTGAGATCAACCCTGCAGTATCCTCTCATTTTAACACAGAGGAAACTTCCAAGCAGCAAGAGGGTTATTCACTTGCTGAAAATACAACTGCTGCCTCAGCCACTGAATTTGCCAATTCTCACTGACAACAACTAACGAGGCTGGGTCTGTGCAAAAGGAGTGTTCTGGTTGACCCAGATAGCACTCTGGAACAGTTTCCATTTAACTGGGACAAGCGCTCTTTAGGGGTTCCTCAGTTCCTCAACATGATTTAGGTTTACATATGGTCAGCTGAGAATCATTGAGACAAACTGAAGGAAACCCATTTCTACACTACAGCATCGAGGTGGAGGCTCTCCCAACGCCTACGGAGCTGCAGCGCTGGAACAAGTAAGAGTTTCCCATGTAGACAATAATAAATGAAAAGACTTTCCATTAGCAGGTTTACTAGAGCCTGCCCTGCTCGGAGTGGACTCTCTATACGCTTAGAGACCGAGCCAAGCAGCTGGATCGGGTCTCCAGCTACGTATTCCTGGCAGCGACTCAGCCCCAGTTTGACCGGGGCACCAACGCAGCCAGCAGACTGCATGAGGCCAAGCGTGCTGCACCAGCACGTGCTGCGGGTCTGCGAGGGGGAGCAGAGGGGGGTGAGGAGCAGGGGGTGGCAATCCGCACCTGCGCTCTCCCCACACGGTGCAACAAATAGCTAAACTGACACCTTCGGAGTCACCGAAGGCGCAGTCACCAAACCTTCAGGTGATAGAGAACAACTGCCAAAGCTTAACTGCAATAAGCAATCTGATTGTGAAGAGCTGCTCGCACCAAACACCGGCAAGAGGCAACCCTCTAATGCTCTCAAGCAAATCTGCATGACTTCAGAGGGCAGATCCTCCAACAACAGTTTGCCACCACCCCACGAGGCTCTCGGTGTCAGCTCCCTCAGCAGGACTGAGTCGATGCTTTTGGTATGCTCTTGTTGCAATTTGCATGTGCTGACAATCTGTAATTAATAGCAGCTTATCACCAGCTTAGTGGTAATGACCCAAGACAAAGGCAAGGCTGTGAATGGCATCCACCTTGCAGAACAATTTGTGATTCCACACACCCTCCCACCCCCCAAATGAGAGTTGTACACTAAGAGAGTTGTACACTATGGGCTTCTGCTCTGGAGTACAGCACAACGCTGATAAAATGCTGCAGGACACTTACTATGGAAGGGAGGGCCTTCCCAGCAGGTCATCAGGACAGCACTGTGCCCTTCAGACCTCCCTGCTCCAAGAGGTGAAGAAGAGTGACTCCTGGTTGAGGTAATTCACCCGAGACGAGTCCGTAAAGGAGTTATGGTCATTTCTCAGCAACCGAAATCAAGCTTTTACTCAGCCAGCTTGTTTTGAATGTTATGGGTATTTCAAGGTGCTGGTCCAACGCGCAGTTTTGCCCGTATGACGAGAGTCCTGCGGACACCACCAATCATTCTCTTAGGCTGAGCACTCCCTGCATCCATGGAGATCAAAATACACACAGGGAAAGGACCTCCTGGTGTTCCCGCTCTCGTGCCACAGAGCCTGCATGACTCCAGGTGCTTAGCATCCTTACAGCTTGGTTGAGATCCCTCTACTGAAGGCACAGACCGGATTTGCACTTCTACTGTCCACGTTTTAACCACCTCCACGTTCCAGACGTGGCAGCGGAACAACTCGATACGCAGCCCCTGGATCTGCATGAGGAGTTCGGGCTGCCGCGGGCAGCAGCGGGAGAGGCTGAAACAAGTCACGGTGGGGTTTTTTTCCCTCCTTGCTGCCCACCAAGCAGAACAAGCCATGGTGCTCACCAGATGCAGGGCTGGAAGACTGCGGCGTGGTTTGGGAGGCAGGATCGGACGCGCGCGTGCAACCCTGCGCTATTACAAAGCAAATTTGTACTGGCAATTGTGGGCTTACACATCCTGGTTTTCTCTGCCCTCCCACCACGCCCTCCAGCCTTGGAGAAGTATTTGGGTTTTCACAGAATCACAGAATAGTAGTGATTCTGTGAGTAGGGTTTTCAACTCATCCTCTCAAAGTTCACTCCAGTTCCACACCTCTGTGCCGCGGATGGGGGTGTTATTCCCCAAATCTGTGCAAGGGCGAGCAGAAGTCACAGAGCTTTTTTTAAAAGCATTTCTCCAAAGTTTGCCAATCCCTAAGAAAAACGAGGAAAAATAGTTCTCTTTGTTCCCTTCTTTTATGACTCCTTTTTTTTTTTTCTTTTTGCATTTGAAAAGGCAGAAGAGATAATATCTTTGCCTCCAGAAACGACTGGACTAACCTGGAAACTGCAGCCTGGCACTTAGGATTGTGCTGAAGGAGCTATATTCTCTCCTCCCCTGAGGAAATTCTAACACGCTGTTTTTGGGTGCTCTGTCCTCTCCCTCATAAACGTAGAAGTAAGGAGCGTGTCTGTATATAATGTATAGAAATACATATATACACACAGGCAGCCTGTATTGACAGAACAAGAAACAACTTCAGAAGGGTAACTTTTGTACCTCACCAGGTATCATTACTGAATAAACCACATTTAAAAGGCAAGTGCAATACTCACGACAGCACAAACACTAGGAAAAACCAATGCTACAAAGCAGCCTACTTCAGTGCTACAGATGCCCCTACAAAAGCTTTGTATCATCCGACTGCCTCACCTCCACGAAACGCACAAAATGCAGGTGTAATGGTTAAACACAGACCGACGGGGTCTCCCGTTTCCGAGCTAAGCCAAGCTCTGCGAGGGGTAAGAGAAACAAATCTTTCAGGTTGCTGAGCGAATGCTCTCCCAAAGGTCTCCCAGGCTGCGGACTTAGCCAGGGCAGGTTCTCTCCTCTCACAATCTAGAGCAGCTCAAGCAATCATGTAATATATGCCATGCCTGCATCGATGGGTGGGCGGGCAGCCGAGGGTTGCTGGCACAGTATACACCTTCTGGGTCCTTCTTATCTCTTTTCCCCCCTCTCCACGACCTTCTGGCGTGCCTCTGCACTCTTGCAGATACTCTGGTCTCCAGACCCTTCTCGTGCCATTGGCACAGCGTCCAGAAAAAGGGCTGTGGTCCAGAGGTTGAAACAGGAGACAGGCGCACAATATGAACCCAGGGAAGAATGACTTTATAGTTGACGCTACCTCAAAGACTGGAAGAATTTGTTTTCTTCCCTAGCATGGAAAACAGGTTTGCTGAAATGAGGAGCAACGCCTCACCACAACATAAGGAAAGGCACAAGCAGAAGGTAGAACTAAGAGAGAAGAGGCAGCATTCCCCTCCACAGCAGCTTATCAATGACACAGACAACAGCGATGAATCATCTCAAACCCTCTAGCACCCCAGGCTTTCACCTTTGGTGACATTTTTTCTTACTTCTGTGCTGTCTTATGCTGGACTACAAACATCCAAGCACGCTCTAACTGACAAGAGTATCTAAAGGAGCTGGGTTCCAAATTCTGTGTTAGGGCAGTTTTTTAAACAGCGGAGAACTGCAGTCACCTCAGACACCACCGTCAGCAGATTCCCGCTAGAGATACAACAGCACTGCTAACAGACGAATGCACGCACACCCAAACCACACCACAGCAGCAGCACTACTGGACACACCTCTTTCCTCATCAAAGCCCCAAACTACTCCCAGCCTAAACTAACAGGATCAAACTCATTTCAGAGTGGAGGAATCTTCCCTCTTGTACTCTAGTCTCTTCCTCCCATACACCCTCTGACCCATCCTGACCGCTTTTCATCATTCACCTCTGCTTTCTCTCAGTTCATCCTTCTTTTCTCCAGGTGTGGAGTCACCCACTGGACTAACCTAGGGCTGCAAGAAGGTACTGTGGAAGTGGAGGTTTGTTCCAGAAGGGGAATTTCCTACTTTTTTTGTGTCCTTGTGGAGTCACCAGGATCTCTTTGGGGATCTGAAATTTACCCTGTTCTTTGGGATAAATTACATGTGAGGGAGGGACACCGGAAGAGAGAGGTGGAGGTATATTTCCTGTCTGTTCCCTTTGGTGGCTGAAAATTTCAGTTTTCGTACCCCAAAGCGCAAGTTTTAACAACCTGGGGTTGCACGCAGCCTCATCCAGCCACCACCCTTGCTATCAGAAAGCGAGAGATCAACGATGCGCAGATGCCTTGGATGTGTGTCAGGAGCCGAAAGTCTGTGTCAGGGAACAGAGGAGCGAGGATTTGTTGGGGTACGAGCTGGGCAGAATGGGAGGAATTTGAATGGCTCTGGTGGCAATTCTCTAGCGTGACACATAAGAATTTCAGGATCAAACGGAAGGGATCACAGGACTTGGTGCCCTACCGCCTTAACGCCCCAGAGGTATTAAAGATGCATCTCGTGGTGTCCTGCTGTCTACGTCGTTTTTTTGAGAGCGGAGCCAAAAAGGTGCGAGGAATGCTGTGGGCAGCCGGGGGTGCAGGAGCTGCAGGTCTTTTTCCATTCCTTGCTAAGTGTTTTCCCTGATCTTGCAACTGAGAAATGGTGCTGGTTCTGGATTCCTCAGTGTAAGCTATCGGCTTTGTGGGTGGGAAACGAAACCTGGGGTTGGAAAGCGTGTGTGTGTGTGTGTGTGTGTGTGTGTGTGTACCCACGCGCGCGAGCAAGCGGCTGTTTTAACACCTTTTCTTTATTGTCCTGGCTGTCGGACACATCAAACCAAGCCCGGATTTCTCAGTTTCTTGCCATCAGATGATTGCATTTCAAAAGGAGCTGAGACAATGTAGCTAGGTCACACCTCAATTCAAGTGCAGCAACGGCCTGTCAATGCGCCCCTTACAGCCAGCGGGGCAGGAATTATAAAAATCCCTTCGGTTTACACAGAAGGCAGCAGAACAGGGAGGGGGGGAGATCCCATGCCAAGGGAGTCCGTATTTCCCACATCTCCGGGCTGCATTCCCTCTCTGAGGGCACTCCAGATGCAGGGAATGATAACTCAGGTCCATTGTTCCCGACTCCAGCTTCTTCCCTCCCTACCTTTGAACAAGCACACGAAAGAAAAGCAGCCCCCCTCTTCCTGACCTTCCCATGGCCCCCCAAAGAAAGACACCCCCACCCCCCCCTCCGGTGCCGTCCTGCTGTGGCCCAGGCGCTGCAGCTGGCTGCTCGGGCAGCACCAGCATGCCAAGGAATGGAAAAGCTCGTTGAAGGCAGCTCTAGGAGCGGTGCTAGCGGGGCTCGTAACTCCCGTGCGTGCGTCTGAAGAAAGGGAGAAAGCTGCACAAGGACAGCGGGCCGGTAACTGGCTGCTCCTACCTATTTTCATGACTCGCCCGAAGACGGAGGTGTTGTCCACCGTGC